CAGAAGAAAGCCAAAGTGAATCCTTTTCCTATCCCTGGATAGCTGAACTCCTGGCCTACTCCAAACCATTTGTTTTTAACTTTAGAGGATTCCTGGTCCAAACCAATTCATGATTAAAAACCAAGTTAATTTGATGTGGGCTACTTCTCCCTGGTAATTACAGAACTTCTCCCCACCTAGCATCCTTATCTTTGGACCAACTGCAGAGTGAAAGGTAGCCTGAATTTCCCATATCCTTCCCAGGGAGCTCTGAAGCACATAATGTTTTGGTTCTGCTTTTAAAATCCTGTTTCTTTGTACTTTTATGAATTTACAATGCAGGTAACTATCAAAATATGAAAGATACTCTATCTTCTTTACCACAACCAAATACATCAACAGAGTGAAACATTAGCAACTCATTGAAGTATTTCAGGGAATAGCTTGTCCAGCAATGATTTTTATGCATTTTATAGCCACTTAGCTATTTCATAATAAATTTTAAATATAGAATCTGATAGATAGCTCTCACAGAGACCTTAAAGAGTCAGTCTTCACTTACAAATCAGAAATACTGTTCAGCTTGTATAAAAATGTAACAAAAGAAAATCTCTCATACCAAAAGCCTGAAGAACCAGATACTTTATCCATTAAATGGAAAGCACAGCCTTCATTTATTCCAGCAAATATTCATCTTCTGCCAGAAAGGACCTTTCAAGAGGTACTCACCTAATAAAACAGTAAATCCAGCTTACCTAATATGGAGGCAGGTATAGAGGCAATAGCCAGCATTTTTTGAAAGGCATAAGAATTCTAAACCAGTAGTAGCCACTACACTTGATGTAAGGGAGCTTCAGCCTTCATGCCTGAAGCAAATTGGCAAGCACACCCCGGCACAGAGCAGGCAGAATACAAACTCCACCACAGTTTGTCTGGTTAGTTTTCTACTTCTCCAGTTAGCAGCTCAGAAACCTGGTTTTTAATAACTCACTGTCTGCATTTTATTTTGGTTGGTGGGATAAATGAGACAAGCTATTTGAGATCTGTGGTTGCTGACATCACAAGCAATTCAGCCATTCTGGATTCCTTGTTTGTTAAGATCAAGCTGCCAAATGCAAGGAGGTGGAGAAAACGGCAGATTTTGGGGAGGGGGCCAGGGATGTGTATATGTGATTCTAGGAAGACTAGTCTATGTCAAGAGACATTCTGCAGATTAGCTACCTACACTCAGTCTCCTTGTGCTCCTCTGCACCACTGAAGGATTACTTTTCTGTGCCCTGTGGCACCACCAGCTGTGCACGTTATTCTTGACATGTATTTCTGCAGCCTGATCTTAAAGGCTTCAGAGCCTGACAGATTTCAGTCTTTGCAATCCATGCCAACATTTCCGTATCTTTACCTTAGGAAAGTTCTCTGCATTTTCCTCAGTTTAAGGCTGTTCTTTCTTGCTTTACCAACAGCAGTCAGGCAGAACAAGCCATTCCCTTCCACACTGCAAATGCCTGTAACCAGGTTCAAAGGATGGATCCTCTCAATCCTCTCTTCAGGCCAAAGAACATTAATTTGCTTCACCTTTTCACAGAGGTCATGTTTTCACACTTTCAACAACTCTCTTTTCCTCTCTACACAGTCCTCAATTGGTGCACAGCATTCTTGGATTTTGGTACCCAGATGGTCTGGGATTTGGTACCTGATCCTCTAGGACAAGCCCTTATAATGCTGAACAACTCACTCCTCTCCCACCCAGGCTACAGATCTCATGCACATCCCCAAAAAGAATTTTTCTTTTGCCAGTCTTCCCCTGGGACTGCCATCCTTTCCTGTACCTTTCCTGAGCCAGCTCTCCCCATGCCATCACTATTCCTGAGCTCTGTGCTTCGCATTTGTACCCCTTGATGAACTTTTATGCTTTTCAGATGACACTTCCAGTTTGACAAGATCATTTCAAATCCTGAGCTTTTTGTTCTCCACCATACTCCCACTCCATTTAGTGTCCTCTGAGGATTTAAACAGGCCATTCTCCAGTTCTTTGTCCGAATCATTAACAAAAACACTGACTAGTTTTCACCTCTGTGCTGTCTCCATCCATGCCATGGGCCTTTAGACAGAAACAGCAGCAGCTCTCTGCAGGCTTCCAGAAGAAGCATCAGGGTGCCATACATATGCATAAACAAAGGATAACTGAATGTTGACAACTATCATTATCTATTATATTCTACTTCTAGAAAAATCAGACATGTCTGATACCCAGGAAAATACACATTCAAATCCACCCTGCTATGCATAATTGGATAGGGAATTTGGAATTTAAATTAAGGCTTTGTTTTGTACATTATAAGTCAACAGCACTGAGATTTCAGCTCCTCCAGAACTAAACCAACATTGCATTATTAGCATTTCTCTCTCTATTGTTTTATGGTTTCACCTTCTGCTAATTCTTTTTATTCCATTTACTGAGCTGCTGTCTTATTGTATGACTCCCTACCTCAAAAAATTCATCACTGATACAACGCAGTTACAGTAATAATTGCTGAAAGATAAACACAACAATTTATGTAAACTACCTTCCCACTGACAATGAAGCCCATTGTTTAAGGGTAAGAAAAGCATCTCCTGGAGATGCTTCTCATCTCAGAGAAAATGTACTTTTTTATTTCACCTAAGAGCAATTTGTCAAGAACCTGTTTATTCCTCTAAACCTCTCTCAAGGTTACCTCACAGATGTTCAGAAATGAATTGAAAAAACCAGTGACAAAGCAGAGAAAATTTTGGCTCCTCAAAGCGGTTTTTTAAGTTGCAGTTAACTCCTGCAAGCTCTGTGCACAGCCAGAAACAGGCACAGGCATGGTCCAGAATAACTTAAGCACTTGCAGTACTCCCAGAGTATTTTGACTGAGTTGTATTCAGCCTTGACTGGGAACAAGGAATTGCCTAGAACAGACAGATCAACCAACCAGACTGAAACTCCCCTTTGTGGCTAAGCAGGGAATCATAAATGAGGCAAAGGAGCTGCTGCTGGAGAGACCCCCCAGGCAGCCCTACAGCCAAGTGACTCACAGGCTGACACTGCAGGGTGTGCAAGGAGGGAGGCAACTCTGAGAGTTTCTCAGGAGGAAAACCAAAGCAACTCTGTATGGAACACCATTTTATTGGGAGAGGAAAAGGTGGGGAGCAGGGCAAAACTGCAGTGGGGAAAATCAGCTTTAAGCTTTCTACCACAGATGCCTAACATGTACCATAGCAATCTATGAGATTACAGAGGGAAAACATCTGAAAGCAAAGTAGCAAAGCTCTGATCTGACCCAGAAAAAGTCAGTAATGATGAAGGAATGACAACCTCCAGCTGACTGGGTACTGGTGTGATTCCTTTCCTTTTGTCAGCTGCAGAATAACAACTTCAGTTTAAAAGACTTCTCCCCCCTCCTCGTAGATTTGAAGAGCAGCAACTAAATTGAAGCAATTTGCCTTGAATATTTTTTTCCTCTAAATATGATTTGGCTGCTAGTCTGTACAACTGAGTCACTGTCAGTGTAGGTCAATGGTGTAGAGGCTGACTCACAGGGAGTCAGAAGAAACAGCCAGTCCCAGGCAGTTTCTGTTTGAGACGAATGTTTGGTAAGATCTCACCTTTTATCTGCCACCTAAATATCATCTTACAAGTAATGCTAACTGTTATTCAAATGCCTTTCTTGTATATCAAAAATACGGTCTCTAACTATTAGGAAACTGTTTCAAATAAACATTTTAAAATGTTAAAAATACAGAAGTAGGTTGGTGCTGATCTGCTGTTTCAGCTACTAAATACCTGTCAGTCATTTAACAAGGCTACACAACAAACCTTTTTTCTCCACCCTCCACAAATCAACTTTCACAGCTAGTGCAACAGGAAAACTTCCTTGGGATGTAGCCCAAACAAGCAAAATGTCTGTAAAACTAGTCCTGTAATCCGGGCTCGCTCTCATTTGAGCTGTTCAGACATTGACAGACTGCTAAGAACAACTAAGAATTCTAAAACAGGACCAAATTTTTTCATAACAGTCAGCACATCTGCCTGTTGTTAGTTCTCTCCTAATAACTCTTCCTGCCCCATGTTTATTGCCCCTAAATCGTGTGTCATAATAAGAAACACAACTCTAAGGCAAGTAAATGCAAAAAACTTCGAGTCAAAGGGAAGCCAAAGTTTTTGATGGCTGGCAAGTCAGGAAGCCCCAGAAGTCCAAGCTCAGCTTTACAGCTGCTTTTTATATTCTCCAGGCTGTACTACATGGAGGTAGATTCCCCCTGCACCTCTGGGCACACAGAGCACAGAACAGTTTCATTTTTGCATTACTTTTCCTCCTTTCCTTTTTTCTCCCTCCACCTAATCACAATCCTCAGTGTAATCACTCAGCACTTTGTTCTCATCAGCTCGAGGTGCTGTACCTTTCAGAGGTAAAGACAAGCTTCACTCCTCTCACACTCAGCACGATGCTCTTCTGCTGTTCCTTCTTCCTGCCTTAAGCAGGGAGCTGTCTGAGAGGAGAAAAGGTGGTTACAATACTTCCAAAGGCAAAAAAATCATATTATGAAGTTTGTCTGAGAATTTTTTTTCTCTAAATGTTCCAGCTGGGTTTTTCAGACCACAGATGTTTGAAATCTTCACAAGCCCCTCTGATGTTGCTCATTGCTAATTGGATTTTGGTATTTCTCATGTGCACTGTTGTTCTGCCCATGTCTTTGGGTCTCCAGCTATTTGTTCTGCCAATCTAGATTCCATACTGGCTGACAGCCCCAAGTCTTCTCTGTTTCCACCTGGAAAATCTTTTATCATTCAGAGAGTAATTTCCTGCTTCTTCTGGTTGTCTAAGTTATCCTACCTGCCCACAGTGCTGCCCTGTCTGAGCTGTTATCTCTAAAGACAAATAGCAGTTGGCTTTGCAAACTTAGCCAGGAGCACACATTTACCCTGTGGCTTTCCTTGCTGTTCTCACCACTCCTCCCCATCCCACACCATTTACCGACCTGCTCATGCTGCAGGGAGCCACATAAAAAGCTGTTTTCCTTTAGCTGAAGTATAAAAGGAGGAAATCTGTTGGGATCCAATTTGCCTCTTGCTGATGCATAATGTGGACCTGAAGGGGAGACAGAACTGCATCAGGTATTTAGTATCTCAGCACCCTCTACAAAGCAGTTAAGTGCACACCCCTCCAGGACAGCTGCAAAGCTTATCAGCCCTAACTCTGCTGCTCCCTGAGCCAAACCAGCTCCAGCAGCTGCTGTGTGGGGCAGATGAGGTGGAACATCCAGCAGTGCCCGAGTTTCGGCACGTCCAGTTGTCAGGAAACACAGCCTGTGCCTGCTGGCTGGGGTGGGGTGGGATAATCTCCACGATGGAAATAAAGGAATCCACTGGAAATAGCTGCATTTTATAGGCAGGTCCACATGGCACCACAGGAAACATTAAGATTGCTCTGACTTAGCTACCCAAGGAAAGGGAGATCCATGGATTTTATCTCACCCTGTAGTTTGGCTGCTGCTTCAGCCATTGATTTATCTTTTCCGGGCCATGGCAAACTAAGATCTAATTTATTATCAAATCAGTCTGAAAGAAAACTTGATGGCTTTAGAGCATTTAGTACTTTCCAGCCTCAGCACTGTCTTTCAGTCATTGATTTTATTTCCCCAGATATTTTTCTTGTTAGAGATGTACAGTTTATTGCACATCCTCCTAACTGCCAGGAACAAAATTCTCCACAGGTTTAGCAGACTTTTCCCTTCATGTGCTATTGCGAAATAGTATTTCTCTGTACTAATAAAAATATGCTCTAAAATGGTCTCTCTGCTTAGAAGCACATTACTGTCCCAAATTCCATTGTTGTAAGGGGTGGTATGCACAGAAACTCACAGGTAAAGGGTAATGGCCATGCAGCTTTGGATTAAACTCACCAAAGGAAGCAAGCTCAGTGATTTTGGGATGTCACATAAGTTTGGCTGAAAAGAAGAAAGCTAACAAATATGTTCTGCATGAAATTGTAAGATGTTGTCAATGACAAGTTCGTGGAATTGAAAACACTAGAGCAGAACAGCAGTAGACCGGCTATAAATTTAATTTAAAGTGTATTCCCAGGGATTTCTGTACATAATTAAATGAAAAATTGTTTTTCAATGATTTCTCAATATTCATCTCACTCAATCTGTGTGTTTCTCTGACCAGAATCTTCTTCTGCTCTGTTATGCCATGAGGGTTTGAATGTTACAGACATAAGTAATTTCCCATCCATCCAACAACTGAACAGAACTAATCAAGAGTAAAAGTGAATTAGAAAGCAGAGACCGTTTTTAACCTTACCTGTATTTTACATATTGCAACTCAAGTTGATTAAAATCCACTATGCAGTAACAATGAAGCAGGTAAAGTGGCCTTGATCTTTGAGAAAGACACGGGGAAGCCTTTAAACTGACAGCAATTCATGACATATTTTCTACTAAAAAGGAAAGCAAGCAAGACTTTAAAGACTAATTAAGAGTGACTAAGTGTTCCCATGTGCCAATACCTGATGGTTGTATCAGCTGGAACAACCTCCTCTACTGTACAGCCTCTACTGTCAAATGCAAGTCCTTGTACCACTGGGCCCCCATCCTTAAAAAATAGCACTGAATCAACAGCTTGATTTTAAAGATTTAATGGCATTCATTCTATTATAAAATATTCTGAAAACAATCCCTTTGATAACTGACAAGTTGCCAGAAACAAGGCTCTCGAGAGTCAGAAGTCCAAGAAAAATACGAATTAAAAATAACTTCTGAAAGATGGTTCCTCATCTATATTTCAAAATCTCACCCAGGATTCAGCTTTATGCAACAGAAGATCCTACTAAAGACTGCTTCTGGACTCTTCTTTTCTCAGGGATCTATGTTACTTCTAGTAGAAATAATTCTAAGAGCATCAGAAAATGTGCATATATGATTTACAGCAAACTTCAGTGCATGAGCTCAAAAATCGTATTTTAAAAGTTTATGACATTAATGTATGTTCTGTAGATGAGTAGATGTGATAAAAATAATGAAAAAGAAATCAATTGCAAGGCAGAGATCAGCCAGCTCAGATTTCAAGTGCCTTAGGTTCCTCTTTACCATTTGAGAAAAGCATCAACTAGATTACAGAGCAACATATAAATTAGAATCAATGTCACTGAAATTTATCCAAAATTGGCATAAAGATGATCAGAAGGATTCTCTGAGTTTGCAAGGAAAAGTGCAGGTACTGATGCTGTAACTGTCTGTGCCAACACCCAAATGAACCCTGTGAAGACAGGACTGGCTGCTCACAGAAATGCAGCCACCAAAAGCAGTTTTCAAAGAAGAAATGGCTCACTCCTTGCCATTATTACAGCCTATTTCAGCTCTCTCTAAAGTCAGGGAAAATTGGCCCATAATCACTAAGGGAGCAGAGAACTTCCTGAGAGGCTTGAGAATAAAAAATAAAATGAAATAAAAAGTAAAACAAACCCCAAAAAACCCTAACCCAAACTACCCCAAAACTTTATTCAGACCCTCACAGCTCAGCATTGTTCATGAGCTGGCACTAAAGGGGATAATTTTTTTAATTCCCACAGAAACCAAAAGTGAAAACCAATCCATACCCTAAGTATGAGTAGTATATACATGTCAACAGGATGTCAAAAGTGGGATTACCACACCTGCTGCTCAGTGCACAACCAGACAAATGCCACAACTGTTCCAGTACCCCCTTCCAGGGAAGCACACTGTGGAATTGGGTCCCCAGCTTGTTTTTCTGTAGGAATCTGCCTGCAAAATGTACTTCTAGCTGTCAGTGAGTACCTCCACCCTCTGTCAACACCACCTAAAAAACCCCCTTTTCCTAGACTTGCTAGATTTTTCCCTAAATTTAAATTCATGTTCCTTTCTATCATTTACTTATTTTGTCCACTTCTTTATAGCCTACTAATCCTACTATTTCAGTCCTAGAGGAGGGAAGAAAATGACTTATGCTTCAGTAAGAAAAAAACCAGGCAGACACTCTGAGCTGAGCAGGTGAATCCAAACGACAAGATAAGTGATCAAACCACACAAAGCACTTTCATGGTTGCTGGGTATTGCTAAAGCCTCCTGGAGAAGAGTTCTTACTAAAGAGTAAAGAGCTCATTAGCACTTGTCATACAAGTGATCTACAGCGAGATCTTTCTGTCTGAAGCACTGAACTGGAGCTGACAGACCGTTTGCACCTCAGTTCTCCTGCACACACTTCTCTTTATGCCTTATTTCCTAATACTGGTGTCAGAACAATTATTTTAGCACATTACAAGCATGTGATTGTCAGCTGAGAAAGCGTTATGCTTTTTCCTAACCATTTCAGACGCCTTTGCTCAGAGGAAACTGGAGCACAGGTAATCATCATTCATCACATTTTCATCTATTTCTGAATGATCATATGTTCAAAATTTTATGGAATTATAGGAATTAATTACTAAACATAAACTATTAGTAGTGCATTTAAGTTACCGTAATACATCTGTCTTTCTGTCACTGAGGAATTCCATTCTATTGCTATAAGAGGGGGCTGGGGGTGATTTTTTTGGTTCTCTTTGCTGAGAGGGCCACATTTGGGGTTTAATTGAGGGGTTTTTTACTGAGAAGATTCCTTTCAGAGACAGCCTCAGTACTTGCCTATTCACAAATAATTTCTTACTATAATCTGGGCTACCCTGGGGTATGAGAAGGTGTTGCACACTGTTGAGAAAACAGGGACACTTCTCTATGAAAATCAAGCCTCTTCTTCAAGACCTAGCAGGGCTAAGTGATATTTTTTTATAGCTGTAGGTGAAAATGCAATAGAAAGCACAGCTGCAGAAATGAGATAAGCTAACCCCAAATCTCAGATACCACTTGCTGAGGAAATCAAGTTTGTGAAGAGGGGAAAAAAGTATTTCTTTGACATGATTTAGCTGACAATTACTGAGATAAAACACTGTTCTTTTTTGTGTGTGTTGTGATCCACCCACCACACTCCAGCATTAGAAAGTTCATTCTGGTTAATTAGAAAATGACTATCATAACCTTCTGCTCTGATCACACAGGGAGTCATCATTCCTCCAAGCTCCCCTGTTTGCCAGAGAGCAGTGGCATCCTGGTGACAGGGCTGTGCCAGCTGGGATGGATGTGCCAAGGCCCTGCTCCAGGGGAATGGCCTGGCAGCTGAGCTGGATCCCCACAGGCTGCCTTGGCAGCATTGCCTGACCTTCACAGGAGCCACAATGGCACTTGGGACAGGGACTGGCTGTGATCTGAGCTCTTGAGCTGCCCCTTGAATATCATGGCAAGACCAGTGTATGCCTCTCCTCCAACACCACCATTTCTGCAAAGAACATGGCTGAAGAGCCTGATAATGTTTCTGAAAACAGGAATTCCAGGGAAACAAGTACTCAGCTCCATCTGGTGAGGAAGAGATAAAACCATGCATTCAATTTCATTTTAAGAAAAGCTGTTATTTGCTTCAATGCCTAAAATTGTAATTTGAAAGCTTACCCATGAGACAAATGCATCTCACATTTGCCAGGGACAGCATTTTCTGATCCCCTTTAATCCATTAAGGAAATACAATCTCCCATCTCAGCAATAAGCCATGCATCTATTTCCCATGGCACACACATTTTTCTTCATCAGCCTACAGATCTCTGGCAATGTTAGCAAACATTGTAAGACAGTGCATTCCAAAGGCTGGCACGCAAATTATCAGGCTGAACTTCCAAACACTTTTCTTCCAAAGTGTGTCTCAGACCAAGTATGTGAGCACAAGGGAGAGTTTCCATGTGTCTCTCTCAGCTCACTGGTTCAGTGAGCAGAGGTGATAAATCCACCCAAGTACCATTACAGGTGTACACAAACGGCTGCTGAAGGACAACCACTGGCAGATAAGGGCAACTAAACAATCACTCTGACCAGGAGAAAGTGGTAAGGAAAATAAGATTCCTCTGGGCAGCTGCTTTTGCCAGAGGTTTTCAGCCCAGCTCAGGCATGAGGTGATGTGTAGGTGCAGGTCACTTATCTAGCACTGCATGACTTTCAGTCACTCACACATCCATGTGGGATTGGGCTGGCAAACACACCAGGC